ATCTCTCCTAGACCATTTAGCACATTCTCACAATAAACATTATGTTATGTAAATTTTTAGCTTTGATATTTTTTCTTTCATTTCTGATGTCTCTCTTCAGTCTTTTTTATTCAAGACAATTTCATTTCTGCATTTTAGCTATTTTTTTAAAAATATATTTTGTCTGTTTGCTATTTCTCATATCAATTTGAATAATGTTTTTCTGATTGTAAAACTATATTGTCAGAATAAAAGCTATTGCTTTATATTTGTCTATGTGTGATGCTTCTGTTGTGTGATCATTGAAGCCTCTTTCTTAAAATGACAATGCCAACATAAATCTATCGCTTTTCTCCCTCATCAGCCATAATCTTGTCTTCTTTTAGCATAGTTTTCATTCTCTTATGTGACATCATTGGTGTCCTCTTATTCACAACTCCCTCCCATTCTCATTTCTCTAAAATAAGTTGTTCTAGAGGAAACACACCAGAGACAAACACAAGAGACAGAAAATCAAGGGGGTAAGAAAATAAAAAAAAAAAATCATGCCATTGCAATCAATCACAATGCAGAAGCCATTTTTACTTTTTAAAAATTTTTTTTTTCATTCTTGTGAACTTAAGCATTGAGTATTGAAAAATAAATATATAATTCCTTTTTCTTTTTTTTAAAAGGTAACACCCCACTCTACAAAACATGCTTGAAAGTAATCAATATTTGATTATAAAAGAGTTACAGAGGAGTGTTAATATTTTGATATTTATTTAAATGGACAGGATAGTTTTATTTGTTTCTTTTTTTTTTCCCAGATTTTATTTTGGCTTTAGTTATCACTCGACTTTGGTAAAATATGACAAATGGTCAGATTTGGGCACTCAATGCAGTCACAATTTATGGTCAGTTATCAAAAAACAACTCTGTTCTTTCAGCCAACATTTATGACACTGTCAACAAATACCAAAGCATACTTTCTGTCTGAATTTCTGTGATGAGGAGTTTATCATTATTTACGCGATTTATATTTGGACTATTATCTTTATCTTTGTTGTTGTTATCACAATTTTCTGACTGTTGTAGCCTCATGCCTTCCTCAGATGTATATCAATCTGATCTGGGTAACCTAGAAGAAACTCTGAACTGAACCCTTTATTTAATCTATTGATTAAATAAAGGGTTTGGTTCAAAATTTCATGTAGGTTGCTCAAATCAGTATATGCCTGAGAAAGGCCCAAGGGCACAATGGCCGGCATGAAAGATGAGGACAATAGCTCAAATATAAATAGTGTAAATAACCAAAGCATACATTTGACCCTACCATTCTTGGTGTAACATGGTGATGTTCACAGGACAGAACAGAACAGATTTCAGGTCACCAGGCATAACAGTGAAATAGTGCACACTATATTCCATGATTTATGGTTTCAATTCAGTTTTCAGTTACCTAAACTGACTTATCAGAGAGCCCAATTTAGAAGAAAATGAATGCTTTTACAATTGCTATTAGTATGGAATTGAAATTGGATCAATTTGAACTTGGCTCAGTAATTTCCCATCCCCCACTGTTAACTTACTCTAACTGCACACCATTATTGGGGTTATGTATGCACAATATATGTCCTTATAAAATGGTATATATATTAATAATCTTGGCTTATTTAATACCAAAACCATTGCAAATTATAGCAATGATTAGACTTCTTTTTAAAAAGGAGATTATCAGAGTTCAAGAAATAAAGCAAGTCTTACAGTGAGAACAGATCTTATATGTATAGTGTAAATGAATTGATAAAGATTTTATTACATAATACATTAAAAATCAGGAAGAAAAGCATTCTCATGCGTCCACTATTGACAGAATTGTGTGAGTATATGTATAATGTAAATGCATCATTAATGATTTTACAACAGAAATGTAGTGAAAATGAGGAAAAGTTTGATTATCTGACATAATAGATCATTCATATAATTATATAATATTCATATAATTATATATAAATATTCTAACTTGAATAGAGGGAATTTTAATAAGTGGATGCATAAAAAATAAAAAAATTAGATTTGTGCTGAAACTAGATTATAAGACATGCTGGGATATATATATATATATATATATATATATATATATATATATATATATATATACACACACACAGGTATATAAATATAAATATATGTAACAGCGAAATTGTCCAAATTGTGTTACAGCATGATTGTCCACCCACAAAATATTTACTATCTAAAAACTACGAAATTGAGTTTCTTTTTTCCAAGTTTTCAGATAAGATGTTTAGCGACCTTGACATCATTTGTCATAAGAATCACTGAAAACCTTTTGAGTTATTCAGCTAGAAAGAGAACCAGTTAAAATCATTTTGTGTCAGCCCCACTGTCTTCTCAACTGAGTAATGGTGAGAGGAAAAATCCCTCCATCCTTCAGTAATGGTACGAACATTCATATTCTGCTTCCATCTTCAAATTCAATACAAGAACCATCAAGAGAATGGTGAATACATTTAAAAAAAGAGGGAACAGTAGAGGAAAACTGGATCAGGAAGTCACAACAGGAAGAGGTATCATCATTTCTAAAGAGATCAATTAGAAAAGATCAAACTCAATTCATATGATGTTTGGCATATGCAAGAGGAGTTTCAGCTATGACAGTCCAAAGAGCAGTGAAAAAAAACTTGAAAATGAAATTGTACATGAAATGTGTGAGGCATCTTGTTACTCCAGGACAGAAAGTTAGAAGGTTAAAGAAGGCGAAGATCATTTTGAATAAGTTGGAAAATGATCCATTAAGATATTTTTAATCAATTCTAAGATGCAACAGTTCAAAGCTTAATTTAACAATTGGCCAATTTTGGTGTTACACGATTTGGGCAATTTTACTATTACACTCGGTGTGTGTGTGTATATTTGCCCAATTAACCATGTGGTGTCATGGATTTGAATACTCTCTCTCTATTATATACATATATATATATATATATATATATATATATATAATAGAGTGAGAGGGAAAGACTAAGTAATTTCCAGTGAATGTGTTGTTACATTGTCATACATAAGATGAAGGGTAAGGGTTGGTTGAAAATTAGAATCAGACAGAAATTGTGGTTCTAGTTTAATCTGGGTTTAATTATGGCAGACTTGCCAAAACATTTTCTCATTAGAGATTTAAAACTGGCACCTTATTTCTTATTAGATGAATCACTGTTTAGTGTTCTGCCCTGAGAGAATTTTAATCCTTGTTTAAGTGCTTTGCTTTGAAAGAAAAAAATCTTTGTGATAACTATTCCTATCACCATATTATACACACCTATAATTTGTCAAGGAATCCTTTGTAAAAAATTCATTCATTCATATAATATGTATACTGGGCTGTCTCATTGTTTTTGATGTATGAGGGGGGCAACAACTCAGTTCTTAGCACCAAACAGCCTGACTACTTGTACATGTGATTTGATTATTGTGGTGAAGGCTTGTGCAGAACCAACCACACTTTTTGGAAGAGTTTAATATAGAGAACTGGTGCATATAGTGTACCACAAGGTCCTCAAACACCCTACTCAGGTTTTGAATTCAGAGTTATCATTCTCCTAGACTGAGTGCTACCCAAGACTATAGAACTCAGTCTGTCCTGTCAAAGTTACACATTGCTGGGGGTGGAGAGATTCATGCCTTTCCAATGAACTTGACAAGAATTCAAACTTGGATCTAATCTATCTATCTCCCTATATATATATATATATATATCATATCTCTCTCTATCTCTTTATATATATTTTTGCTGTAATATATATATATATATATATATATATATATATATATATATATAAAGAGAGAGAGAATGTCCATTTTTAAAGCTATAATAAAATGTTAATTACTGAACTTACCTAATCCAAATTCAACTGAAAAACATATCAGTAAAGAAACAGTCAAGATACATAAATAATAATAAAAATAAACAGAAAAAATGTACCTTCACCTAAAAAGACACAAAGAACTCGGTAACCCAGAAAAATAAACCTGATACCAAAAAAAAAAAATCTCAGAGGATATAGCAGGAATATAAACCCCAAAATATTCAAAGACATTACTCTGCTATGATTAAGTTTCATGCGATGAGTGATCTTTATTTCTCTGAACCATTTGAACCATTTGAAAATTACTCATTGCATGAAACTTTTAGTCCAAGCAGAGTGATATCTCTAGATAGTTATCGGTTATATGTTGTGTGTGTGCATGTATAAAATCTCATAATTTTATAATTTATATTTCTTTTTCATTCTTGGGTTAACAGGGCAGTCATGCACTGATTCCCAAACCCATAGTCATGACCAAAATGAAGATCACAAAAATACTCCTGGAGGTTTTAAGATGCTTTTGAGGAACAAAAAAAAAAAAAAAAAAAAAAGGCAAATATATTCATGCTAAAATTTTGGAATGAAAAGTATCAATTTGAAATTGAAAATAATTTTGCATAAACTTTTATGTGCCGTGTCCCTTCAGGAAGTGGGAAATCATGGCTCTCCACAGCTTTCTGTTCCTTGTAGCTTTGTCATCTCTTTGTCTTCACTCTGCTGTCCATTCACACAAACTCACGAAGTAGGTTACACACTATTTCTTTCTAACCATCTCTCAGTTAATATATCCTGTGAGTGTTAAATTTTCCTCATATGTCCCAGAAATATCTTCTCAGTATCCATTTTCTTTTGCTTACATATTCAGTCAGTGATATTCTCAACATTGGTCTGTAGAACTACATCTTTATTGCCTCAAGTCTCCTTTTCATCTATAAGGAAACTGCCCATCATTGACTGCCAGAGAGAAGCAGAGATCTAGAATAGCAGTTCAGCACTATTTTCCTGTGTCTTTGTGTATAACAATGCATCATTAAATGTCTGAAATTTTTCATGTCAACTAATATATATATATATATATATATACACACACACCAAGAAAACTGGGACCTGGCACAATCAAAATAACCCAATCATCTGTTTATCAGACACTCGGCTTACAGCCATATCACACTGAAACACTGGTTTTTATATGATCACTAAAGTTAAGCAACATAGAGCTTGGTCAGTACCTAGATAGGTGACCACTTGAGAATATCAGGTGCCATAAGTTTGGATATGCAGGTAGTGTAATGGATTATGGCTGAGAATTGAGAATCTGAGCCGAGTTCCAATTTCAGTTGGGTTTGTTATACACACTTACACTCAAAATACCCTTGGGAAAGGTATGAATCCACCTCTTCTCCTCCCTGCTGTGGGTTAATTAGTAGAAATTGTAACAGTAAATCATTATCCCATAGAAACTTTTTAAATCTAAAAATATTTTCTGGTTCTGCAAAAGGTTGATAAACCATAAAAAGCAAATCAATGAAACACTGATTTTTTTTTTTTCTAATTGTTTTTCAAGTGAGCCTTATGTCCCAGGAAATATAGCAGTTAATAGGTTTCACCATGAAAACCTCTGAATTGAACTGACCTCACTAACTCCAGCTTATTGCTCTTACAGCAGTCTCTTGCTCCTTACTAATAAGTATAGGATTAAAAAAATAAATCCAGATCTTGTCAATATTAAGTGATTATTAATGTAAACCACTTAACTACCAACTTAATTTCCTACCTAACCCCATCTGAGTCAGTCGATTAATTGTTTATTTACATTCAATTAGTGTTCAAGTAACAGGTGAGTGAGAGAGCAGGCAACAAACTAATCTGCTCTTAATAGACTTGATGATGGATTGTCAATGGTTGTTAAGTAAGCTTCATTAGCTTGTTAACTACTAATGATTCACAAAGTTAATTGGCCCTACTTACCTTCCTAGACAAAGATGACTGTCTGGGTAAAGCCATTGTCACTAATTTGTGGGTGGGGAAAGAAGTAGAGGGCAGAATTGCATGCGTTTGAGAGGGTGCTTAAATCAAAACACTTGGGTGCATGGCCTGTTACATTAATTAAACGCAAGAATATCAAATCTCGCTTTACGACGACATAGACAAGCACTATATAGACACATCCTTTTTTATTATATGAAGTAGTGCTGAATACTTCTCAGTCCAGCTCACTTCACAGAATCTGGTTAAAAGATCAAACACTGGAATTTGTTTCAGAATCCCTTTTCAGCACACCCTCATATATTGAAGAAATAAGTGTGCCTGTGTGCATGATTGAATTGTTGGACTTCACATTATGCCTGGAACATCCATGAAAGAAAACAATGTAGTTACTTGGTAGTGTTTGTGAAGAAAGACTTTAAAAATCTGTATAAATTATTTGGTAGAACACACAAATTAGACAAATTCAAATTTTAATGGAGATAGTATCAGAATATTTTCTGCTAATTAATCAGTTTCAAATAAAATAATGTCTATTTATTAGAAATTATTCAGAAGATATACTAAGTGGATACCAAATTAAAGTAAAATTTAATTAACTTATGATTATGGAAAAACATAAAATTTACACAGAATTTAAACGCATCAAATTATTAATCTGCAAAGTTTCAGCTTTTAAGCAAGTATAGTTTTTAGAAATGTTATACTCTTCATATAACACTTTCAAATAGAGCCAAACATTTTTCTGTTAAATATTCATATACATTTTGTGTTTACTACTATGTCTGCATGCCAGGTATAAATAAAAAGAACAACATATTAATTAGATAGCTCTAGTAGCAGTTGGAGTAAGAGAAGTCAATAAAAAATCTTCCTGTGACCTTCTATTTCCTGTTGTATGAAAACTGTCTTCATAAGAAGAAACTGTACTAAAAAAAAATAGAAACAATTTTTCTAAGTTGCCACAAATGTTCACTTTTGCATTATTGACCTTGGGGAAAGGCATGAATCTGTCTCTTCTCCGATAAGGTATCAATTAAATAGCAGGGTAGACTGAACTCTTTAGCCTTGCATGTCAACCAGTTTAAGAAAAGGAAAATTCAGAATTCCAATCAATGGGTAAGGCAGTGTGAAGCCTCTTTATTATCTTTTTCCCAAAAGTACATAGTAATTCACAGATGATGATAATAAAAAAGGGAGTTTGTGAAGTGTCATGATCGTATGTTTTAAAGTAAAATGGTATTAAAGAAATATTACCATGTGTTAAATTTGTGGGACACTGTCATTTTTTTTTAGTAAGGACAGTTTCACAAATCAGTGTGATAAAAATACTGTCACTGAAAAGACTTATTGTAATTTAGAAAAAACAAACAGTGTTAAGGGCTCTGTGTCAAAGGCACTATACAATACATCAGATGTGTGATCCATTTATTTATATTATATAATTTTATCTTGTTTATTCATATTGTTGTAGCATACCTACGGACAATAATGGGTATGTCCCCATTCACATATTTACAGTATTAAATACTGTATGTTGGTCTGTAGTTGGCAATTCATTGTGGAATTCACTTGACTCACTTCTCGCAGTTAACTACTTCTTCTATGTGCTGCTGGTGAATCTTATATGTGTTGTTCTTGCCCTAAGTATTATCATTCATTACCAACTTTTGTGTGATTATTCTATTCAGTAACCTTCTTTAGGTTACAACACACATCATATAATGCTATAAAATAGTCATCAAAATAAGTCAGTCACAAATACTTTATTTAAAATGAATTTCATGTCAATATTTGTATTAATTTTTTATAAAGTTGTTCATAATAAATTTATATAAATGAATGTAAATTGTTACACTACTTATATCATCTTTTAATGTTACCAGCTGGTTATTATTATCAAGAAATCTCATATCCCAAAGTGATCATAATAAATGGCCCCTGAATTTAGAATCTGCAATTCAAATACTGGAAGTCTTTTCTTGCAGATAAGGACTTTTAGACAATGCATTTTTCTCTTTTCTATAAAAACTCTGTATCATATTTATATACTTTTCCTGTTTGTGTATTCTACTACAAAGGAAATTCTGAATTATTGTTGGATTGCTTCCTTTATACTAAAATGTAGATTATAAGACTTTACAATTTTTTAAGCAATACATTCTTCATTCTGAAGCTCAATAGCCTCACTGTTCTGTGGCATTTAAAACATTTAAGAATCTCACTGCTGATGCAATTCTCTTCAAGCAGATTGATTTCTCTTCTAATCTTATAAATTCTACTTATGGGATTATGTTTATTCATAAACTTTCTTCAAACATCTTAAAACAAACTTATCACCATCAATCACCATTTATTATTCTTTTTGTTTGTTTGTTTCATGAATTCATAATTGTCTATGACTGGACAAAAAGTGCTCATTTTCAAGAAAAGTGTCTTGCATGAAAGACTATATATTTTCTGGTTGGGAGGAAATGCTAACCCATTACTCTTGAATGCACTCTTTCATTTTTTTTCTTTTTCAACAGAATATACATTTGCATAAGCCTGATTCTGTGTGTGTGTGTATATATATATATATATATATATATATATATATATATATATACACAAACACATTGACACACACACATGTGCGTGTGTTTGTGTGTGAATGTGTTTGCCTTGCATGTCAGAAAATTATACAGGAGAAAGTATGTAAACTTCAAAGTGATTATGGCTAAAAAAAAAAAAATGCAGGTAAAATGTTTCTGCCTACCACGTCTTCATTGAAGGAGAATAAAGTTTGAACAGGTCAGGAATGAAGAGTTTAAAGTCATTCTGACCTAATCTTGTGCTAGTTCATTGAATTGTCTTCCTATCAGTTTATCTATCTTCATCCATGGTCAGTCCAGAAAGTATCCAGCTGTTGAACTACAATTGTCAAAAAAAAAGCTTACATGAGTATTTACACCTTAGTCCTCTTCAAATTATTCCCCTTGTGATATCACACACTTATCCCAGAGCATCCCTTCCATGTTTCCAGATAATCTGTAAATTAGTCTTTTGAAATTGCCATTAGCTTCTTTGTCACATTCTCCTAAATTTCAACCACAATCTTTTTAATGGTGACTTAGGTTTTGGGGAACAGTTGAAGCTACAAAGAGTTAAATATGAACAGGTGGCAGGGGTGCTAACAGACCTGGATCATATGATGCTTTGTTCAAATGACTCTGCATGAAATGAGAAGAATGAGCAGAATAGTTCATGCTCATTCAACAATGTATCACTGAGTAACCCTCATAGGAGAATCTGTTTTACAAATATGTAATAAGTTCACCTCTGATGTAGAGTTACATCAAGATCATGCAATGTGTTTCCAAGATATTGAAAATGGTTAGATGCATTCCAGAGAAAGTTCCTATATAGGGATTTATGTATGTATAAATAGTTATTTACTAAGCCTTGCCTCTTTCAGAATAAGACTAAAAATGTGAACACAGCAAGAATCAAACTCACTTCTGTAGAATTGGTCTTCCAAGATTATTTCTCTAACCACTGCTTCATGGTAAGGTATCCTATCTGCTTGGCTTTGTCTATTTAAGTATTATTCTATATAAATATTTAGTAAGCTGCAAAACACTCAATAAAGCTCAAATTCTTTACAATGAGGCATGGTCTGCAAAATATGCTAGTTAACTATCAATTCACAGCAAGCCTGTCTTGCTCTCTGTGTCTATATTGAAAAACAGCAGAATGATGTCCAAAAGATTGACTGTTTCATTTTTGGGCTTCACTTTTTAAATTTTCTTTTTTTTAAATTTGTCAAGAAGAGTATTAATAATTTTAAATGTTCTGTAAAATAATCTTAAAGGTTTACTGTTATAAAAATGAAGAAAAACACTTTCTATATATGAAAATAAGCTCTGTTCAGAATGTATTCAGACAACTTGAATATCTCAAGAATTGATTGGCAGCCAGTTAGAGGATTTCTGTCTGAATTCCTGAAATGAAGCATTATCTAGATCAGTGTTTCAAAAGTGGGCGATAACAGCCCCTTGTGGACTCTGTTATGTTGAAAGGGGGCACTGGGAGTTTTTTTTTTTTAAATTCATTGAGAGTGGGCAGTGAACATACTCAGGTGGTGGTGGGCATGTATCCATTTTTGTTTCAGATTTTCAAAAATTATTCAATATTGGCTACAAAAGGAAATTTCTGAAAGTGCTGTGGAATGCTATCAAACTTTTCTTCATTGCTTTTCCAACTTCCTATATGGCTGAATGTGGTTTCAATGCAGT